TTTGAATTTGCTGACTAGAACACATACGGAACGATAATAATTTTTTAAAATATAATAACACAAAAATGAAAAGGGAACTAGGGTACATTTATCGAGAGCCACAAATAATCCTTCAAAGAGCCGCAGGTTGACCACCCCTGGAATATATGATCACATCTGAAATTGCAAAATCTATTTAAGTGATTTTTGTTGTTTTTTAATTTGTTTTAAACGTTAATTTAAATTAAAAGCTTTTTAAATTTTAATAAAATTAATTTAATTAGAATGCTGCAAAATTTATTATTATAAATAATTTAAATAATAGTGCATTTGTCTTTTTAAAAGTATTTTCAGGTAAATGTGTTTGGCAATGATGGAGCACCTTTAAATGAAAGGCAAATTTTTTCTCAATTAGAGTTAGTTGTGGCTCAATCAAAATTTCCAAAGAAACCTATTGGAGTATTAACAACAGAGCACAGAGATACATGGGCAAAAGCATACAAGAGACTTTGTAAATGTAATTATTTGTATAAAATTATTTTATTTTGAAAAGGTGCTAAATAAAGCAAATAATTAATTTGTAACATTTAGCAGATAACTTATAAAATATTTCAAGTAGTTTTAATTAATGTTTTAGTAAGAGACATAATAATAAATATTTTTAATGTACAGTAATTAATTTAAGAAAAATAAGAAATACAGTGTGTTCTCAAATTATATGTGTTTCAAATATGTAGTTTTAAAATAACATGATAGAAAAATCAGAGTGCATTGTCCAATATGTTCAGAATTCAAAATTACATGCACAACTTAGTTATACTGTTCAGCTGTTAATGGTAACATTAATATATATCATATCATTTGGACAATACTGACTGTTTTAAAACTTGACTGAGACAAAACTTTCATTAACTATCATTTCATAAGTGAGATTTCTATCTCAATCGATTCATAACAAGCTTTCTATTTACAGACTAAAACTTTTAAATGTACAATTGCTGCATTAATGATGAATTAAGTCTAATGATTATCTGTCTTCATTTTTGTTTCTAATGATCAGTTTATTTCTTCAAGCATTCATGACATTTAACATTAACTTAAAATTGCAAAATTTAAAATATGCATGAATGTACTTAGAATGCAACCCTTGTGTAATTTCAGAACCCACTGTAGTAAACATTTTATACTTATAAATTCAGATTAATTTCATGATGTGAAAGCTCAGTCAGAAAAAAATGTGACTTTTGAAATTTTCATAATAATCAAATTTTTAACAAACAATAGAGAGGTTGAGGCGCACGTTTTAAACGTGTAAACGTGTACGTGTGACGTTCGGTAAAAACAATCTCAAAAAAATTAAAATTTATAGACTCAAGCTTTGTTTTCTAGAGAAACTTTGCAAAACTTTATCTGCAATTGAGTCAAGTATTTTATATTTACAATAATATGAAGTTTCCATTTAAAATTCCATTTAAAATCCAATTTACAAAATTTATTAGGTAATATTTTTTAAACAAAATATGATGTGATTGAATATTTAGAATAAAACATGTAGAATAGAAATATTAGATAACATTTTTATTGTACATGTGAATTACAGAACTGTTTTGAATTTTTCACAAACTTTTACTTTCCTGGCCATTACATTTATCATACAGAAAGTATGGTAATCATCAAAAATAATTCCCTCAAGATTTTTACAGTTTTGGACTCTGGACCTTGAAAAATTAAAAAATGTTGGGTTTTTTTTCTATATGTATGGCTATTACTGTATGTGTGTGTGTGTGTAGAGGGCATGATTTCTGTTATCCACTTTGAAGCATCCTGTGATTTTTGTTGAAAATTTCTGACATTTTTCAGGGGTTTTTGTATTAGGGGGATTGATGCTATTAAATTTTGGTCATTAAAGGGAGAGGGAATCAGGTATATCTTGAGTGGGATTGGACCTAATGAAGATTTTACTTGTTATTAGCAGTTACAATTTTTTATAAAACTCATCTCTATCCTGAAATTAAGCTTTGCCATTTTATAATAATTAATAATATAAAAAGATTTTTTAAATAAAATCTTGTAACAGATTGCATCACACACAATTTTAACTTTATTGCTGGGAAGTTATGTGACTTGTTGATGAAGTTTTTTTTATATATTGGATATGTTTAAATCAATTATAAAATTCATGTAACAGTATATCTAAAAATTTGTCTTTTATTTTTACACAAATTAATGGATAAATAACATATGTATGTACCCATTAATGAGTAAAGAATATATGTTTAAACCCATATTTCCGTACACATGCTTTTATAGATGGAGCAAAATTAGCACTATATTTCACAAAGTACCTAAACACTATTTTTTAAAAACTTGTTAGTGTTGGAAGCGTTTTTTACTTTGGCTTTTATTTCTATAATGGCTATATTAGAGATATGAGATATCACTAAACACTATCAGTACATTTACACTTAATTTGCATTGATATAGCATGCTCTTACAAGCCAAAACAAGCTGACATATAAGAACATGCTCTTATTTGCATAGAAATATCATATACATATATGTTTAAACTAGTATATTTAGCATTAATAGTTAATTATATTAATTTATATACATATTAAAACAACTGAGAATATTTCGTAATAGAAAATAAAAGTGCTCAGCATAAACTTTTATTTTTATTACTGTCAGGGCAATAACAAAAATATCATTTATGTATAGAGCAAAAAAATTTTAATGAAAAGTATGTTGTTTCAAAAATTTCAATAAGTAAATTGTATTTAAATTCAAAAATTTGTAAATTTTGTTCTATGTTCAAAGAATATTTGGTTTTGTTTAACAATATTAAGAGTGAAATTTACAGAAAAGCTAGTATGTTTTCTTTTATGTAATATTTTCAGTAATGACTGAAATTGTTTTATTTTAATTATATGAATATTTTTATTGTGTATGCATGAATTTGAAATAAAATAATCCAATAAAGAATAAATTTTATATACTATTATTACAACATGTATTATTAATTGAAAAAACATTTTATGTTTACTTATTTTTGTATGGACATATAATTAACTTAACTAATTTAAACTAATTTTTGTGATATTTAAATGCATTTCTAAAATATTTTTAAGAAAAAATATTTTCGTCAAACACAAATTAAAACGTAATTTTTTTTTTTCAACAGTAAACAATTTGGTATAAGCATATATTGATGACCTTCACACAAAAATTAACATAACAACTTCTAGAAAAATTGTTGATTTATTTCTATAAAGGTCATCAATTTTTTTCTATAAATCACTTATAGAAAAAATCAATTATTAATAATTTTTTTTCTGAGAAGTAAGAGCCACAGTTAAAAGTGTAAAAAGATCCTATTATCTAAAACTAATAAGTGTAAAATTATATTGTTTGGGTTAATTTGTTGTAATATATTACATATCACTTGATGTAGCTATTATTTCATCAGACAAGTAGTGAATGGCATTAAATTTACTAGAATATATTAATTTTGTGAATTGTACAAATAGTTTAATGTAAGATGTTGTATTGTGGCTTAAACATTAAGTTGCTGAGAAATTTGTTTAAAAAATGTGTAAGTTAATGTNTAAGAAATATGCTAAACTTGTATGTAGAAGTTAGTGCATGTCAGCTAACATTTACATCAGTTATAGAATTTTTATGAACATTAGAATAAAATTTTTTATTCAAATAATAATTTAATGCTATTTATTTTGAGGATTTTGATATGAATAAATAAATAATTCTGACCAAAATTATTATGTTGAATGTATAAACAAGTCTCAATTTGAGACTTGTTTATACTGCTTATTCCACTTAAACTTATCAGTAGGCAAAGTAAATAAGACTGCAATTAGTGGAAATTTAGTCTAGTTTTATTGACTCTTGACAGTAAAAGAACACGTCAAAACAATTAAAAATTGTATAACTTCAAAGATTTATTAAATCTAATTGTTATTAATTAATAATAATTTATCAAGTAGTAGTTTTCAGCTCGTTTTGCAATGTCATCTTTAAAAACAGATAGTGTATAATTGCAATAAGAAATACAGCAACTTAAATGACTGTACTATGAGCAAGTAACAATTAAAGCAGTGTTTTTCAACCAGGGTGCCGCGGCACCACGATTTAGGTGTTGCAAAGTTTAGGGCATTTAGGCATTTTCTTGGAAATTTACTTAAGTGTAATTCAAGATAACTCATTGTCAGTTCTATTTTGCTACGAGATATCTAGTAAGCAAAGAAACGATGACTAATCACATGTTAATGTAATGTTCTATGCTACGTGTATGCACGACTTGTCATGAGTTTGCCCAAACCACATTGCTTGGCCTTCACATTCCCAGTCCCAGTACCAGCTAACCAGCAGAGAAGAATGATGTGGACATGTGTGTCTTGTATATACTTTAAAAAGCATTGCATTGTACTTTGAAAAGAATGTGGTTTCAATCACAAAATAGGTGCATATTACAGTATTTTCATAGTATTCAAAATGATAAGAAATAAGTATTCAAAAAGATAAGAAAAAAGTAATGAAATATTTATTTTATATATGCATTAAAATAGTATAAAAAAACTTAACAAAAATTGTTCATCAATAAAATGATAATATAAAATGATGGTATATTTGATAATAAAACTAGATTTAAAAAACAATAGTGAGACTATTATTTTACATGTAGGTATTTTGGCAAAATCAATGGACTTAAATTTTGATTTTGACACGTAGAAACGCTCTTTTTGTATTAAATTGCCACTTCAAACTGTCAATTTAAAAAATTTTTTTTCCCGGGGAGGGGACTCTCTCACTGGACCTCACCCCAGCGTTGCATGTAATATTCACTTTTGCAAAATATTCATCTGGCCCATTAGTCCCTCCCCTATTCAGATTCTAGATCCTCTGCTGGTCAAGGGTGTCACGATTTTTTATTTTTCAATCAGGGGTGCACTCAATGAAAAAGGTTGTAAAACACTGAATTAAAGCAATTAACATTTAATGTGTGGCTGTCTGCCATGTTTGTTTTTGTATATAGTTGTATATAGAACAGGAACTCCATTCTTCTTTCCTGTAATTCTTCCGTCTTCAACCCTATCCTAACCCTAACATGACATTAGCCTTACTATTTGTGGGTCCTGATTGGCCAGAAAACAAAAAAGGAAAAGAAAGGATCCTGCCTGAGGGGGACCTGGGAAAACAGGCATTAAGGAAAGTCACTTTTTGGGTTTGTCACCGATGAGAGAAGAAGTCTAGTGAAGGAGATCAAGCGGGTTGAGAAGCAACCAGGACTCTGAAGCCTAGAGATAGGAAAGCAGAGATAGTCAGTGTATACCACGTGTGAACAGTGACACCAAGCTAAGTGGTATAATACAGAATTAAGTGAACACTCTCATCCAAGCCAAAGGAAACTTACCTCAGCAATATTTAATGACAACATGTTATCATTAATCTGATGTAAAAAAATTGAACATCTACCATCCATATAGTGATCATCGTCCATATTATTTTTGTTATCAGGACCCCAATCTAAGCTACTGGTATACTCTCTAACCAGTCTTCATTCTTTTCTTTCTATCTAGTTTGTATGTAGTGATAGTCTTAGTTTTAAGCCGAATTGTGTAATAATTAATTGTCTCAGGAAAATCAAGTGAGAGCGAGGAATTAGTGTAAATACATTTTTGTTCTCTATAATGGGCAGACTGATATCTGTTCTGTTTATTCAAATAAAAAAAAACAAATGCAATTCGACTGGTATTCGCCTTATCTCATTTGTAACGCATTTTCACCTTTCACAAATGTTTAAATCACAGATTAAAACTGATAACGATAATACTGTAGATGCTGATCACATGTTATCATCTACACATTGGGACTGAGAGTTTGAAATCACAATTCAAAATTGCATACTTACTTGCAGATAATAATAATTGTAACTGAATTCTGATTGTAATAACTGAAGTTTTTATAGTTTATCTTAACCTTTATGTTGTGGAATGAGTTAATTCTGATAACATTAAATGACTGATAACAATATCGGTGACTACAATAAGCATATTCTAATGTATTTAAAATATATAAAACAAAGACATGTATTATATTAAAACTTATAATAATTATAATCTTCATGTTTTGTCTTAAGAAAGAGAAAACATAAGAAATTGACATATTAAAGTGATTTTACTTCAAAGTTTTAATTTTAATTTAATGTAAATTTAATTTATTTTAAACAATTTATGAAATAATTATTTTAATATTTTTAGGAATAATGTGAAAAGTACTAAAAGATTACCATCAGCACAAATTGATTCTCCAAAGAAATTAAGATTCAATCTGTCTTCCGATACCTTAGCTGATATTGAAGAAGCAGAAAGAGATTTAGATGTGTAAGAATTATCAAATTTAAAATATATTTTTATTGCTCATTTAATTATTATTCATTTAATTAAAAATAATTTAATTGTAAACCTAAAAAATAAATTCAGCATATAATGTTAATTATATGAATTAACATTTTTAGTTATAATTGTAGTCAAATTAACATTTTAATTTTAATACTTTAAAACAATACAAAAAATACATTAGGAATTACAATAAAAAAAAATAATTTTAATAAAAATTAATTCTTATAATCAAATTTAATTACCAATATTCCTAATCTACTTGTTGATAATCTTTCTATATGAAGTTTATTTTACAAAATTAAGATGGATGGCCTGTATTTCCTCATTTATAACTTCAGATTTCCGTATAAAGTTCCATGATGGCAAAGCACATTATAAACAGATCGTTAAAATGTAGTAAAAGGTTTAGAAATCTCTTTGGTTTAAAAACCTAATCTTTTATATGCATTTTTATTTGAAGTTAAATTTTAATAAAAAGTATTGGCTGTTCAGTGGCTACTTTTGAGTTAGTGACATTTGCATCACAGTATTTTGCAATGGCACCTTAGAAAAAGAAAGGGTTATATTATTTGTTAATATTTGGAACTGATGCTATTATCAAGTTTCACCAGTGAAGAACAATAACTAATTGATCCTAGTGTTAAGTTATAGAAGTAAAAATTAGATTAACATGTACTTTTTTGAACAACACAATGAGTTTTATAAAATGTCGATTTATCAAGAGTTGAGTTTCTGGACTCTATAATATATAAAATCAAATAAATTTACCAAATGTTATGAAATATAAAATGACTATTAAACATTAATTTGTAAATGCTTATTTCATCAAAACTATCACACTGTTAAAAGCATAATGAAGATTAATACAATCATTAATATTTATAGATTTTTACAATTAACTTCATATGATTAACATAAAGTAATATTCTAACATTAATAAATACTTTTTTTTAAATATAAAATCAAATCATTTAAAATCATTTATAAATTGGAACTGATGCTATTATTATCAAGAACAAATGAAATTGAATGCTGGCAGATTTGTATTAACGATAAAAAAAAAATAAATAAATAAAAATTTTTTTTATTATTAATATAAATCTGTCAGCATTCAATTTCGTTTGTTCTTGATAAAGGTCATTAAAGATGACCGAAAATATTTGAATTTGCTAATAAATATGGCTGCAGTTTATAAGGTTTTAAAGTAGTGAATCTTACATAAGCAATAGTGTAAGTTTAATATTATTTATAAAAGGTAAATACACTACAGTATACAAAACATATTAATATGTTAAACAAATTAAAAATGTACTTTTTAAATGAAAAATTGTGTTTAATATAATTTGAATAATTTTTTTATATTTTTGAACAAGTAAATATTTCAAATATTGCAGACATCTTTTAGTTTCTGTTTTAAAAATTTCAATTGCAATAAATCATCTTTTAAGATTAAATATCTTCATTTAGAAACTAAATATATCAAGTTAAAAATAAATATGTAACAGACAATGGAATAAATGTGTTTTTTTTTTCTAATATTAATGTTAATTATTTAACTTTGATGCTATATTATAAACAATAATTTCTGAAAATTGCTATGAAATTCTTTCAAAGAATTTTTGTTCAGAATTTCACAAAGAATATTTTTAAAGATATTCTACATTTTAAAAAATACATAGTTCTCTATATGTACTGTACATAAGATAGTTTATTGTAATAACACATCTTACAGGCATATTTTAAAACTAGATTTTAAATATATAAATATATATTAAAAGTTTTGTTAATGTAAATAAATAAGAGTAATTTTTTAATCTTCAGATTAATTAGTGATTTAGAAATGTCATGCTTTCAATATCGAGGCTTTGGAAGAGAATTTGTAAAGTCACAACGATTAAGTCCTGACAGTTTTATTCAAATTGCCTTACAGTTAGCATTTTACAGGTAAATTTATAAACATTTTAGGAAAAAGAATTGTAATTTTTATAACATTGATATCATACTGTATAATATAGATAATTAAAGCTAAATTTATCATAAAAGTTCTAAAAGTTATTCTATTCTAAAATATTTTCTATAACTGTAACATTATCTTTTTATATTTATATTTTTAATTATTTAAAAAAATTACATTATCATATTGTTACTTGTAATCAAGTGTTTAATCATTTTTTTTTTTTTTACCATTACATTACACTTTAGGCTTCATAAACAGCTTGGTCCAACTTATGAATCTGCTTCCACTCGAAAATTTCTTCATGGAAGGACAGAGACAATTCGTTCTGCTTCAGTTGAAGCCTTAGATTTTTGCTTAAGAATGCTTGATAAAACAGCTGCATCTCATGTAAAGGCAGCTGCATTACGAACTGCTGTTGATTCACATAAAGAATATACAAATCAAGTAATAATTTCTTAATTTAATTTTTAAGATTTATTAAAATTATTTTTAAACCCATAAATAAATTTATGATAAACTTTAAAACAATGTATTTGTAATAGTTATTTTTTCTGTATTTCTAGGCTATAAATGGTCTCGGTGTTGATCGACTTTTACTTGGATTAAAGAAATGTGCTATAGAAAATGGATTAAATGTTCCAGAATTATTTATGGATACAGGATTTCAGACAAGTACTCATTTTAGGCTTTCAACTAGTCAGGTGCTGTAATATTTCATATACAATTATTAAATAAAGTAAATAATAATTAAAAATCTATATAATATGTTTTTTAACAGGTTCCATCAAAATCTGATGCATTTATGTGTTATGGTCCATCATTTCCAGATGGATATGGTTGCTGCTACAATCCGCTACCTGAATTTATTAATTTTGGAGTGTCGGCTTGTAACAGCAGTCCCGAAACTCTCTCATCAAAATTTATGGAAGCTCTTGAACAAAGTCTTACAGAAATGCACGATATCCTTTTGCTGTCCCAAAACTCAAAATTGTAATTGCAATCTTGAATTTTGAGATAGAGGAAAAAAATGTGATATTAAATCTGCTAAAAGCACATTCACTAAATTTTGTTGTATATCAAGATGTAGTGGATGCATTTATTGAATTGCTGTTTCATACTTTAAAATATATTGCCAATGTATGAAAGTAATGCAAAGTAATCTGAAGCATATTGCATCAGACATCAATTTATAGTATAAAGAAATAATGATATACTTTCTAAATATATAGTAATTTGAATGTGAGGAATATAAATTTGTATTGATGGTAAGTTTGTTCATAAGGTAGACAATAAAATTAGTCAACATTTTCATTAATATTTAAGTTAATTAATTTTAATAAATTCTTTTATTTTAGAGAGATTGTTCAATATTGAATTAAAACAATTTGCTTATTATTATTGGAATTTACAATTTAAACATCTGGTAAATAATACAAGTATTGAAACTTTTATAGAAATTATAATAATTAAATTTTCTGTATTAAATGCAGTAAACTTTGTCAAGTAATTAATTATGTTGTTATACAAATGACATAAAATTGTTGCAAGCATTACTATAAACATCAAAATTACATTTTTAAATTTTTATTGAGATGTAAAATGATTTCTATACTGAAATGTAAATATGATGAATTATCATTATTTAACATATCTGAATATTAAAATCTATAATGTTTATTCAGACTTTTATAAAAGAAATATATAAAATTAACAGAGAAATGATGAATTATATTGTAATTTATAATTGCATATGTTTATTTTGATCACAAAATCAAAAATTAAAGAATTTATGATTATACTAAAAGTATATAAAATATGTATTTAGCTTTTATAAAATGTAATTTTTATTTAAAGATGTCTTTGTATATTATTATTATTAAAATGATAATATTGTGGTTAAGATCATAATGTTTTATATAATTTTTTTATATTTTTCGTAGAAACTTAGGTTTAAAAACTAAAACATATAAGAAATAATCAGAATAAGAATTAATTCACAATGTTATCACTTAAAAATTAATATAAAAAATTGAATTAATAATAATAATATTAATAAAGCATCATTTAAATATAGAATTACCTAAAATTTTAAGAACATTTATGAGATTTAAAATATTTTTAAATAGTTTATTCTTATTTAGACTAATTAATTTAGACTTTAACTATTTCAAATGTTTTTAAATATTGTTAAGAAGAATGTTTCTTTCGAAATTCAAGTAGATGTTAGATTTAGAATTAAAAATATGTTTGGCTGTTTGAAATTAATGTGTTTAAAAAGTTAAGAATATTATATTTATATATAAGGCAAATAAACGGTTGTCTGTGTGTCAACTTCTCATTGTTATTTACAGAAAGAAACAATATCTTGTTATTAAAGTCAACAGAAGTTTATGCACAATGTCTTTCTTCATTTATTAAGCTATTAGTTTCTTTATTCTATGTATTTTGCATATTTGTTCAAAAATATAAACATTATATATATAAAGTAGACTAGTCCAAAACTTTTCTGCCAAGTTTGAAGTATATTTAATTCTTTTAACTTCTATGTCCTTACTGTCATACATTTCTGTATATATACTGTCTTCCTGGACCTTGTTCATTAATAGGACATATTATACTGGTGTAAATTCTGATTAGCAAAAAGCGGAGACATCTCCTTTTTCCTCTTTTGCTAATCAGAAACTACACCAGTATAATAAGTCCTATTAATAAACAACATCCAAGTAGACAATATATACACAGAAATTTGTAGTATCTTATATTATCTTCATTAATCAGTAAATTTCAAAGCTAAAAATATCACCTCATGTACTGTTCAGTACAGTACTTTCAATTTTCCTGTAGCTGTCTGTTGACCCTGCAGTCCAATGTCAAATTTGAAGATTATTTCAAATGATGCTCCAAGCAATTTAGGTGGTATTGTATGAGACCAGTGTTACAGTATGTCTGTCGAGTGTTGTTTTGACTGCAAATTTGCCCGAAAGCTTCAGAGCTTTTAATTGATGATGTTCCTTCATAATGAATTGCATTATATTAGGAATGCAACAATAAACATTCTGTTATACAGTGTAGAATGCTTTTTGTAAAGTTTGAATTTGGCAGATAATTTTTGGATTATTCTGTATGATAAATTTTATAGTTTTCTTATAAAAATAATGATTNTAATAAATAAACAAGTTCAATATAATTACCTGTGTTAATAGATTCAATAGATTCCCCATGCCCTCTAAATGCCAATTATTAAGGCCGGATGGCCGAGCGGTTAAGATGGCAGCCTACCGCTCTGCGGGATTCGGGATCGAATCCGAACGGGTCGAAAAATTCCTGGGAATTTTTCGGGGGTGGTCCGTCTGGATATATCGGGCACCGTCCCTCACCACCCGGCCACCCCATTGAGGACCTGGCCGAATCCATAATGGCCCTGTTGAAAAGAGGCCCTCTTAGTGCCCATAAGGCAGAAAGAGTTAAAAAACAATTCCAATTATTGCTTTGATAAAAACATAACATCTACTAATTTAGATATAATATATCTATTAGCCGTAACTATCACGTTATAATTTTCAATATTTATTTTATATTGTTTACTAATGTTAAATTCTATTCTGCTTTGATTTCTATATTGCTTTAATTTTACAAAAGAATCGATGTGACATTTACGATTTTCGTGTCTTTTGACAGTATAGCAATAAAATTTGTATTTTCTTAAAACTGTGATATGTTTTGAAAAAATAAATACTTTACCTTGAAACATATAAATTTATTTACTGTAATTTTATAAGATAATATTTCATAAAAATTATAAAAATTTACAGTTTTGTATGATCCAACTCAGTAGTTTTATTATTCTACATAATTTTAGTAGTGATATATAGTACACTCTTTCTAATCCAGGCTCTCAATTATTTGGCATATTCACAACATGATTAGCTATGTGCTTCCATTTCCATGAAAATGTACATTGTACGTCCTATTTTCTTGTTTACTCTGGTTTCATTTCTGTGTAAAGTATTGCATATTATAAGATATACACTATATTATTTGCCTGCCTACCTTCAATATTGATCAGTACCAAAGAGTGAGAGGTCATGCCTTTATACACTCTCAGTATTCTGACACTCCTCTATGCAAGGAATAGTTATATTAGCAAGTCTAGTGTATTACTTACAAATCTTTTTGAATTTAACTCATAAGTTGTGCTGACAGCACAACTTGATAACAAGTACAGAGACGAGGGGTGTTTGCAGTGACGTGCCGTGACATTTGATTATAGGGAAGCTGTGTTTCTGTAAGAAGCCGACTTTCAGGGGCAGTCAGTTAATTTAAATCTTTTTGAATTGTTTAACTTTAATTTCTAAATTTTTGATGCAATCCAAAATTGAAATATGTTGTAAATTTTCAAAAGAGAAAACAAGCCTGAAAGTTTCTCTATAAAGTAATTTTTTGGGTAATTTATATGTCTATACATTGCTGAGACAATTAAGCGATGTTAAACTTAGAACCATAATGGAATTTGACAGTTTTTTGTTCTATGTAAAGTTAATGATTAAACGCTGATTAAGGAATGTTTTATTAAACTTACTGTAAATAATAATATTTACAAAATTTAAAAATTAAACTTTATTAATTCTTTTGTATGTAAGAACACAACAAGCATTTCAATAGACTGGGAAGAAGTCAATCATGTAGGAATGATGTTTGATAGAAATTGTGGCTTGATGCAGTTTCACACTTTTCTGGGTTTGAGCATGTTTCAGTATAGATGTGTTGTGATGAATGACCAAAATGTTGACATTGGAAATTTTAGCACAGAGGCCAATGAATTGCTAGAAAGTCATGGAGAGCTGCTTTCAAAGGAACATTTGAAAGAGCTGACAGCACAACTTGTTATCAAGTTGTGCTGTCAGAGACGAGGGCAATGTTTGGCAGTGACGTGCCGTGACATTTGATAATAGAGAAGCTGTGTTTCTGTAAGAAGCCGACTTCCAGGGGCAATCAGTTAATTGCGCGTCAGTGATGGTCTAAGGTCTATTCGTATTCGATTTGTTCGATAAGCCAGTAAAAACCGTAGACTTATCTAAATGTGTTTTTAATAGATTATCTGACGTAATCTATCTATATAATCCATTGAACGCATGTCCGTCTGTTCGCGTAACGGTATGCCAAAACGGGCACTAGAGGCGCCCTAGCGATGATTTTAAATTAACAATAAAATATTTTTATTTGTAATAGGAATTTATTATTTATACCACGGAATGGTATAAATAATTATTATATGCCTTGCCTTGTTATAGGCCTCGATTAATCGTGCGCCGCACGTTTACAACATCCCGTGACTCACAAGACAGTGAACGTCGCGCATTGACTCACGGGAAATTTGTTGAAAAAATGGCGGATACATTAAAATCGTGGTTTACAAGCGAAGGTAAATAAACAAATTATACTATTTTAAAATATTTATAGAATGTTTAATAGGTAGAAATCTAAATCCGTATGACACGACTGGGACTTTAACAGAGCTGTAGAGCATATTGATAGGAACAGAAAAGTCAAATGAACCGTGCCTCATGGAAATTTGTAAAGAACGCCCACTAGGGGGCGTACCAGGCTACTAGTTAATAAATAAACAAGTTCAATATAATTACCTGTGTTAATAGATTCAATAGATTCCCCATGCCCTCTAAATGCCAATTATTAAGGCCGGATGGCCGAGCGGTTAAGATGGCAGCCTACCGCTCTGCGGGATTCGGGATCGAATCCGAACGGGTCGAAAAATTCCTGGGAATTTTTCGGGGGTGGTCCGTCTGGATATATCGGGCACCGTCCCTCACCACCCGGCCACCCCATTGAGGACCTGGCCGAATCCATAATGGCCCTGTTGAAAAGAGGCCCTCTTAGTGCCCATAAGGCAGAAAGAGTTAAAAAACAATTCCAATTATTGCTTTGATAAAAACATAACATCTACTAATTTAGATATAATATATCTATTAGCCGTAACTATCACGTTATAATTTTCAATATTTATTTTATATTGTTTACTAATGTTAAATTCTATTCTGCTTTGATTTCTATATTGCTTCAATTTTACAAAAGAATCGATGTGACATTTACGATTTTCGTGTCTTTTGCCAGCTTTACTCAAATTATTTAAATCGTCAAAGCCATTCTTATTACACACACTAATTAGTAGGCAAGGAAAACAAAACAATTTTTGCATTTTTATGCATCCACAAAACCATTTTATGTCTTCATAAATTTTATCGTGAAAATGTCGAACAAATTTTTTTGTTGAAGTATTTATATTTAATTTAGACATTGGTCTTTCTCTTTTAAGAATGTTTTCTTTTTCATTATATGATCTTGAGCCAAAACATTTTTAAAATAAATTTTCAATATCGCAATTACGATCGTTTGTCGCATCACTAGTATACCTCAAAGGGCGCTACGGGGGTTGTTGTAAATTTTAAACGTTTCTCACCATAGCTGTACAAATCTAAATATGATAAACTTAATACTAAGTAGATTGTCCGTCATTTGTTTTCTAACTAATTCGTTTTAGGACCAGGTGTCCACGGAAATTTCCAAAATTTACAACTTTTCAGTCACCCCCGTTGAAATGGAAAAATTTTTGTCTTTATTATATCTGATATTACAAAGAAATCAGTCTCCACTGTACTCGGCTACAGATTGGTTCGGTTAAGCTTTTGTTTAAGTAAAATTTTGGCTCTTTCATCAGGGTTTTGTTTATGTCCCCAATTCCCTAATCTCTTCATTATTTAACTACTTAAGTAAAAATAAGTTGAAACCCGTTACTTTGTACTCGAATATTTGTAGTCTCGGGAAAGAAGTGGAAAAACAAATTTTTGTGACAGACGGATATATAAATCGTAAATTTACGAAAAATAAATTCTAGAGCTTTTTCTGTACCTCGTGCATCTCTCTCATTCATTAAATTTAGTTGTAAATGATGCTACCAAAGTAACAGTTAATTTTTTAACATTGTACAAGAATTGTGCACGTTTTTTCCTGCATCCCCTTATAGATGGGACATACTAAATCGTAATATCACTAGTTTAACATTGAAATCTGTAATACAAAATGGGAGAACATCATAAAAGCAGAATAAATACATCAAACATTTTAGTAGATTTTTTAAACTCTTGTCAACTATACAGAACTATCATAAAAACGTACCAGTAAACTCCTATCGATTGGATTAAGTTATAAATCTACTCGCGATTCACATAATGGGGGAGGACGGTCAAATATCTAGCAGGCAGGCGGCTAACGACCCAGAACCGGTCCGGGATAGAATCATTGGAAGAGTTATACGATATTTTGGTGTGTAGCATCCACCAGCTAAACCGCGTGAGGTTTGTGCTCTGTAAAGCGTAGGCGTATAATCTGGCTGCTTTACACCATTCAAATATTTTCGCCGTGGAAGCTATCCCGTATTCGGCAATACTGTATAGCGCTTCCATTGGGAATATGCATATACGTATTTATATTCGAATATACAATATCAATCTTGTCATTGTTCTCACACGTAGTATAGAAATTTGTAATAAGATGCATAATGCGGTTTTAATAAAATATTAATTTTAATTAATTCACAGTAGGTTAAAATACGAAAATAATCGCGCAATATGTATTTATACTTTAGAAAATACAAGGAAAGCAGCGCTTCCACTCCTTCCAAGGACGGCACGCCACTGATGTTTGGGAAATGGTACCACCAGGACACTTAAAGCTTTAACACGGATATAAACTGCCTGTGAATCTCCTGACTGGGTTATTGAAAACGTAACTCTTCCACCAAAAGAGTTGTAACATATGTTCTTAAACCATATTATAACTTGTTGGAGGAGAGAAGGAAAAAGACCCAATAGACATACATATTGCAGTTCTAATCCAGAAAAACTTCTTAGGATGTCGATCTAAGTGACCTTCAAACCAGTTAAGGCTTCTTCATTCTGCCATTGTTTTAAACATGCTTTTAATTTACAATTTTTGTCTTATTTATGATTATTATTTATTTTAACTAATTATAAAATAATCATAATTCTTGATTAAAAGTGAAATATTATTAACTTTTAATAGTAAATTTCAAAACTCTCTCTTGCGGGAATTACGAGGCCATTTTTCATACCTATCACAGTTTTAGCCATAAGATAGAGTGAGTAAAAGGAAAAGTGTGATATGGAACTTGAGGAGCACAACACATTAACACCAATTAGACTATTGTGAGCCAACGAGGGTTCTTCACAGCAGCAAGCCAGTGCTTTTACGTATTACCAATTTAACAATTCGGAGAATATAATTAACTTAACATTTTTCTTTACATTTTTGCTTATTAGATAAAGCTTAAAATACAATTGTCAAGTGAACGTAATGTCTTAACTTTTGCTTTGTCGTGACGAAACATTTTTATAGATTAAAGAAAATTATAATATCAAAAAGAACTTTTAAATTAGCATTTGAAATAAAAATATAAGTAACGAGCAATTATTTATTGCGACATCATCGAAATGCCGGAATGCAATTTTTAATCATAGTTTTTAAATTTATTTAATTTAAAATATATGCTCTCCATCTGAAATTAGTAGTCTTGTCCCTGTACATTATACTTTCCCTGTTAGCAACAGAGTCATGCAGTCATCAAACTCCTTACATTAGAAAATGTTGAATTGAAATAACGTGACTTCGAATTTCGGTCGGAAGTTCATGTACAGTTAATCAGGGTCTTATGTCCCCAACCTTTCGATATCTGGTCTTGAATTTTATCTATCTATCCCCTTTCTCGAGATTAAGGAAAGACGGACGATAGTGGGAATTTATATGTCTACAATTACAATTTATAGCCCAACCATTTTAAACAATGATTTGACAAACATTGCTTAAAGACTGGAATAGTTTCGAGTCTTGTATATGCACAAACTATCGTAAGCCTATAGGGTGATGTGGTTGTTGGATTCCCAGAGTTCCGAAATTATAAACGAGTTAACGAAACCACCTAGAAAACTTGAACGCGTTCTATGAGTTTCATCAGAATTGTAATGACGTTTTTGTTTATAAATAAACGGTATTTTATGGTAAATGTAATTTTTCTTCATTCTGAGTGCATTTTAGATCATCTTCTCAGGACAAAATCTTAGTTACAACACTGCGCACAAATACACATTTTGATATTTGCTTTTGTATCATATTCTGGATCCCAGTACAAATTAATATTCAGGAATACATGTCAATCCCCCGTAACGTCTAAGGAGAAATCGGAATCGCTGCTAACAATACAATCGTATTCAAGAGGAACCACAGTATAATTAATTACATTTCACAAGGCACAAACCATAAACTGTTGCTGTACTCACCACGAGAATATTTCGACAGTATCGTTGCCATTTCGACGTTAATTAACAAGGATAGTCTCCACCGTGCTTCAATTTTTATATGTTAAGTAAAGTATATAACAAATAGCATTTGAAAACTAAAGTTTTAAAATTAATTTCTACAAATTTTCACGTTAATTTTGAAATTCAAACATAATGCCTCACAAGTTTTCCGGGTTTCTTCACTTGTCCAACACACAAATAGGAGCTAGTTACCCAGAAAGCACCCCTTTTGAAAAACCTTCCATATGTTGCAATTCAATCTTGCAAAACTCTATATTATTTTTTATTTCATTGTTCTACACTCAAATCTAAAATTATAATAATTAATTTTTCTGTTAAAATAATAAAAGTAATTATAATATTAATACAAGAAAGGAGGGAAATCTTAATGAATTTTAGAAACTAAACTAAATATTTACATGGTATCAATATTAATATCGATCTCGAACCACTTCCTAATCACAATATTACCGATATTGAATGATAACAATCGAGAGTATGTTTATAATAACGTTATCATAACAATAAAGGTAGTATCACAACATCAATTAAATGAAAAGGAACTTGGGATATGATGATAATAGAATTATGCAGATTTCTAAACGTAGCTTCGTGAATGAAATAAATTGCAAAATTGTAGTTTAATATTTCAATTCAAAAATGTTCTGAACGGAGTTAGATAGACGACCATCACGACTTTATTGATAACAGGAAAAGTATGATGTACAGGGGCAAGACACTACTAAAATTGAGAGCATTGTGACAATGTCACAATAGATAATAGCTCGTTTCTTAAATTTTTTGTATTCTCTGTTACTCTTCAATAGTCTGAATGTAATAGTATTTTCTGTTTATTTTATATTATCTATTAATTATATCTTATTTTATATATATTATTAACCCTTTAATACGTTTATTTAAGCTATTTATTCACTTCAAATTATCCTCAATATTTTCCCAAAACCCGTTTTAAAAGTGGGGGTGAGTATTAAATTTGTAGTAGTACAGTGTATTAAATAATATTTTAAATATACATTATAATAATACAAAAATTATTATTATTATTTTATATAAAAAGAAATATTAAATTAAATTTAAAAAATAAGGGAAAATACAATACTTGACTGATTGATTTATTTAAATAGAATGAAGCACAATTTGAAAGTTTTGAAAGATCAAATCTTTACAAAACTTTGTGTTTACATTCTTTCTGTGCACGAAACGATTTTTCTCGTGTAATTTATTATTTCGAACAAATATTCTGTCATTTTTCACTTCGTTATTGTATCCAAGATATTGACTTTCTAGCCATCGAGGGTTCGATATGAAAAGCGATTTCTCGTTTCTCCGAATATTAATATCAATTAAGCGATGGAATAGAATACGTTTTTGACATTAAAAATATTATCTGTGACTTTGTGTAAAGTGATTTTAATAATAATTGAATAATACAATAGTTCTCGTCCTTCTCCAAAGTTATCCAAACTAATGTAGTTAATGTATCGTTAGCAATACATTAATTATAAATCTGCCGTGAGATTTGCATTTATTTAAATAGCTAAAATTTATGTAAAGGGTGGTCTAAAAGTCTGTTAACCATTAAAAAAATTAAATTGTCCTTGTTTACTTAGTTTATTGTTTATAAAGTTTTGCAAAATGAGATTTCTCTTGTTCGATATACAAATTACAATACCTTGGCATATGTTTTCTGTTAACTGACTTTAGGACCATCTTGTATTTTTAACTTAAATTTATGAAAATCTATATAAAATGTTAGATGTATGCGAAATATACGACAGCTATTTTATTAGAAATATGATAATAATAATTGATAATAATAATAATAATAATAATAACTCTCCCTTGGTCACCATCTGGTCATGGTGAGAGAGCCCAGTAATTTTACTGATCCATAGAGCAATGCAGGCTAGAGCACAAGTTCCTGGTAGGAATCCACCTATGCCAGTAAGGTCTATGGGGAGAAATGAAGTTAAGAGTGACCACACCCACATTCTCTGGAGATATTTAGCATGGTAGTAACCAGATCAAAGTGTGATACCGGTTCGGACGACGTCCGGGTTAACAAAGTCCGCGTTCGTGGGTTAGGCAGAGGCTCACGTTCGAAAAATAGACCACAGTCTCTCTTGGTTACTGGTGGCAAAAGCAGCACCAGCCCAAGCATGGCTACTGCAATGCCCTCAACAGATGTGAGGAATCACCCTAGCCTTGGTGTTTCTATGGCAATGCATCCACAGACCACAAAGGCTGGAAAACCACGCCAACGGATGAAATCAGAAATGAACGAGTTTATCATCCGTATTTCCTACATCATCACAAGACTCGAAACAAACATGACAGCATACAGACAATAACTACACCATAGAGTATTGGCCTCTTTGTGCTCCTTGAGCGGTAAGGGGCCTAAAACCACAAAAAAAAACTACACCATAGATTCACACAATAATAAACTCACCTCACTGTTACAGAACAAAGGGTTGTTGATCAAAAAAGAACAATTATACACAACAACCTTATCCCACGAACAACACTTGAACTTATCAAACAACAGGTTGCTGATCAAATACATCAACAGACAGAAACATTTAACATTAATGAAGATCAC